AAACGGAAATAACAGTAAAAAATACAAAATTTAAATAGAAAAAAATAAAAAAAAAACTTCAGGAATAAATTATTTATTTTAAACTATAGAATTTTTCGATCTTTGAATAAAAAATTATTATTATAATTAAATTAATTAAATTAATAATTAATAATAATTAATAATAATGAATAATAATTAATAATAATTAATAATAATTAATAATAATTAACAATAATTAATAATATATCATTATAATTTTTTCTCTCCTTTAAATAAAAAGAAGTGTAAAATATTTACATTAAAAAAAAATTGAAACAAAAAAAAACAAAAAGAGAAGAAAATAATCGATAAAGAAAAATTGCCTGATGGAAACTGAAGAAAACAGCAGTTTATTATTGAAAAGGGTTACTCTCGCGTCTTTTTTATACTCGTTCCACTTTTTTTTATATCAAAAGGAAGATTTCTCCTTGTTCTCAAGGGACAATAATCCCAAATGTAGGTAGCACTCCAGTAATGGCAGCCAGTACCTGGTGAAACACTCATTCAACCAACTCAATCGACTGCAATGCAAATAAAATTGAGTCCCATGGGATAAAAATGAGGTCGATAAGAACTTAAGATAAAAGAGAAATATTATTCTTCTCTTCTTAACTTCCTCCCTATTTCCCCACTTCAATTTTTACCGTCATCGAGAATGCTTCTTTCCGGACGTGATTTTTACTTTTAAGCCATAACGACTTATTGACTTATATAGATATATATATATATATAGAGCGGTCTCACTATTATTTCATCTCACATTTGTTTTCCCCATGAAATTGGGTTGCCAATATTGAAGAAATAAGAAATCATCATTATAGATAATAAGACATTTTTTACCATTTTCTTAAGTAAATTTTCTTCAATTTTAAAAAAATTTGGGTTAATTTTTAATTCACCTTTTTTTTTCATCTCATTTTTAAGCTGTTTGTAAATTTTTTTTATATCTGTAAATTGACCTACGTGATTTGACCTAATGTTGACCTTTTTCACCTTATTCATAAATTTTTTTGTCTCTAAATTGACATACGTGATTTGACCTAATGTTGACCTATTATTTTTTCACCTTATTTGTAAGGTAATTGTAAATTTTTATTTGTCTGCAAATTGACCTACGAGATTTGACCTAATGTTGACATTTTCCACCTTATTTGTAAAATTTTTATTTGTCTCTAAATTGACCCACGTGATTTGACCTAATCTTGACCAATTCTTTCTTTACCTTATTTCTAAGTTGATTGTAAATTTTTTATTTGTTTCTAAATTGACCTTTGTGATTTGACCTAATGTCAACTTGAATTTTAATTTGACCTGTGATTTTTGACCTAAATTTCTAATTGACCTGTGCACTGAAGCTAAACATAATATAACAGATTTTAACTTAAAAACTTGACCATTATTTAGAGATTATTTGATTCCATTTGTTTCTTTGTATTCTATAAACTTTGACCTAAATTTAGAGATTATGTTTGTTTCTTTTAACCAAAATTAAAAAATTAAAAAAACCCAAAAATGTTAAATTTTATTTTAATTCTCTAACAAAATTAATAGAGAATTGCAAATAATCTTTAAATATGAATTTATAACCTGTAAATTTAGGTCAAATTTTTTTATTTTGTTTGATTTTTAACCCATAAAGTTGACCTATATTTATAGGTAAGACTTAGCAAAGTTGACCTAATTTTAAAGATTATATTTTATTATTTATGCAATAAAGAATATTTGTTATAAAGTTGACCTATATTTAAATGTTATATTTTTCTCTATGCAATAAAGATCAATTTGTCATAAAATTGACCTGTATTTAAAGGTGTTTTTTGCTTTTCTGACAAATAACATTGACCTACATATAATTGTTGACCTTATCTGTAAAGTTGACCTATATTTATAGGTTATGTTTGCTTTTTTTATAAAATAAAAATTAATTTCATTACAGTTTAGTTAGAAGAAGGTAAAAATTAATCATTGACCAAAGTTGACCTAAATTTAAAAATATGATAATATTTTTAAATTTAGGTCAATTTTACATAACCTTTAAAAGTTATTAATTATGTTTACTCTTTCAACTTTGAAATTGACCTTCGTTTAAAGTTTATGTTTTGCTGTTTTACCTATAAAGTTGGCGTATATTTATAATTAAAGTTTTGATTATTTAAGACACAAAGATTTTTCCCTGAAAAGTGAAACTATATTTAAAGGTTAGGTTTGCTGATTCTTAATCTAAAAAGTTGTCCTATATTTAGACAGTTTCTTAAGTAATAAAGATGGTTTGCTATAAAGTTTAGTTAAATTTAAAGGTTATGTTTGCTGTTTTTATACAATAAAGTATAATTTTGACCTAAATTTAGAGGTTATGTTTTTTTCTTTATCTATAAAGTTAAATATTAAAAAAATTTAATTTTCTTTTAAATTAAAAAATTTTTAAGGTTATTTTCAATTCTTTATAAAATAAGGATTGTTTGCAAATAATCTTTAAACCTAAGTTAATAAACAGTAAATTTAGGTCAACTTTGAGGGTAAAAAATAATACCCTGTAGATTTAGTTCAACTTTATTGCAGTAAAGTTGACCTATGTTTGGTAAATACTTTTTGGTAAAAAATAATCATAACCTGTAAATTTAGGTCAACTTTATTGCAATAAACACAAATAGGTCAACTTTATAGGTTAAAAATAATCATAACCTGTAAATTTAGGTCAATTTTATTTCAGTAAAGTTGAGTTATATTTGGTAAATACTTTTTGGTAAAAAAAACAAAAATAACCTGTAAATTTAAGTCAACTTTATTGCAATTAACACAAAGAGGTCAACTTTATAGGTGAAAAATAATCATAACCTGTAAATTTAGGTAAACTTTTTTGCTTTAAACACAAACAGGTCAAATTTATAGGTAAAAAACATAACCTGTAAATCTAGGTCAATTTTAATGCAATTGACCTAAATTCACAGGTTATGTTGTCTTTACCTAGAAAGTTGACCTATTCTACATGCATGGAAGATTTTTGCTATAAAGTTGACCTTAAAGATCATGTTTTCCCTTTTATCTGAAAAATTGACCTGCATTTAAAGGTTATGTCTACTTCTTCATCTTTAAAAATAGATTAAATTTAGGGCTTAAATTTAGGCTTTTATGACTTTTAGGCTGAATTTTGAGGTTATGTTTTCTTCCGTTAGTAAGTTTTACCCTAACCATCTATTTTGTAACTTTTCATTTCTTAAGAGCAAGTAAAATTTTTTTCTACTTTTATTACATTATTAGAAAAAGTCGTCTTTGGTCTTAATTCAAAAAAAAAAATTTTTTTTGTAAGCTATAACTTTATCTGAAATCTCTCGTTTTTTGTAAAAGAAAGTTTAATCTTTATATTAACTTCCTGTTCTAGATACACTTGAATGAAATTTTAATCATCATTTTCCTTTGAAAAGGAAAACCATTTTCCCTATCCTCTACCCCCTCTCTCTTGCCACTTCCTACATCCTTGGTGATTTATCTTTTAGCTTAAAGTTCTCCCTAAGATCCCTGATAGATGGTTTCTATTGCTAAACTTCACGAGGGAGGAAGACGGACCAAAATTTCTTAATCGGTGCGAGTAGTCAAAACTTTCCCTTTGGTGTCTATGCGAATATATTAAGATATTTAGTCGAAAACTTGAATATCTGAATTTTCTTTCTTTTTTTTTTGGTGGTTAAAAAGTGTTTTGAGATAACAATTCATTATGGGTTATTATAATTAAGTTGAATACTGTCGTCATAATTATTAAATTATAATATGCTCTGTCAAAGTCTCGTGCTCGACGTTATAAACTTCCTCATTAAGGAGATAAAACGTTTCTAATTAATAATATTATATCACAGATTTCTAATTAAATGAATTCAATTAAATTCTCAGTTTCTATGTGGTGAATACCACTTTCAAAAGTGGTTCATCATCATTTATCATATTATCATGAATTGATATACTTGTAATTTAATTCTAAATTAGGATGAGGATGGAAAAGTTAATGGAAAAGTTTCTTTAAAATATTGTCAAGTTGGTGAAACTAGAGGCTAAAAATAAGAACAAGGTCTTAATGCAAGTTAATTCTCAAGTTCAACGTTCGTTTTTATTTCGAGCAGTTGGTATTAATTTTTAATCCATTCACGCTTCGATTTGTAACCCAAATGGAAACTTGAATGGAAATTAAAAAATTTGCAATGATCCTCAATTTTAGTATTTATCTGATGCTCCAAAAAGCCCCACAGGATTTTTCGATCATCAGATCAAGACTTAAAATTTAGGACCCCATCTAAACTTGCAGTAATATTGACAACATTGCCTCTGAAGATTGTGGAACTTGCAGTAATACTGTCAATGCTGCTGCAAAATTTAGATGGGGTCCTGAAGCTGATGATCCAAAAAGCCCCACAGGTTTTTTTGGATCATCAGATGAAAACTAAAATTTAGGACCCTATTAAAACTTGCAGTAATATTGACAACATTGCCTCTGAAGGTTGTGGGACTTGCAGTAATACTGTCAATGTTGCTCCAAGTTTAGATGGGGGTCCTAAATCTGATGATCCAAAAAGCCCCACAGGTTTTTAGGATCATCAGATGAAAACTAAATTTAGGACCCCATTAAAACTTGCAGTAATATTGACAACATTGCCTCTGAAGGTTGTGGGACTTGCAGTAATACTGTCAATGTTGCTCCAAGTTTACATGGGGTCCTAAATTTTAGTTTTGATCTGATGATCCAAGAAGCGTGTGGGGCTTTTTGGATCATCAGATCAAAGCTAAAATTTAGGACCCCATCTAGACTTACTTATTGTCAAAGTTGCTGCAAGTTTAGATGCTGTCAGGGAGTGTTTCGGATCAGTTTCTTTAAATTTAGTTTTTATCCAATTAGCTAAAGAGCAGGGAAAGTTTTTTGCTAGGGGTACCCCTAAGTTTAAGGTACCCCTGTGGAATAATTAGATTTTTTTGATGAATTGATGATTACTTACATTTTTAACTATGGAATTCCTTTAATAAATTCACTTAGTAAACTGTACACAATGAAACAACACTCTTCGTCTGATTGATGAAATCATCAAATCGAAAGCCTGGATCAAAGGCCCTCCCTAAACAACGGAGCACGATTAGAACAAACAAATAAGAGCCTCTGGGAGACGCGCCGGCTGATGATTCAAAGAGGGAATACCACCCCTTGAAAGTTTAGGTCACTAGGTGGATGAACTTTGGGTGGCACTTGGCCTCCTTTGAAGGAGATCTTCGAGTGCAGTGATCCATCCTGTTGCAATTGGAGATCCCAAGGTCCAAAACTGATTAAATAAACTCGAATTAAAATCTACATGAAAGTCATCATAAGAAATATTTGGTTTTCCATTTTTTTTTCTGATCATGAAAAAAGTGCACCGCACGTGACACTGGGGGGGATTGAAGGTGAATGCCAGAATTGAAGGATAAACGCACGTGTCGCGCGAACGACGACTGATCCTGATCGGATCGTATCGAAATACCAACTAGAGGCGCGAGGTTGTTTTTGCAGGGTCGACGGCCCCCACTTTCTCTGGTTCAGTTGACGTCGACGTTCGTGTGGATGGCGACGGCGCACACCATGGACACCCCTTTTCCACCTTCTGCCAAAACCCCCTTCACAACCACCCTCCCTTTCCCACCACTTTTCATCCTCTCTCTTATACACGAACCTGGATCGATCCAATGTGAGTTGGCTGCTCTCTCTCTCTCACTCTCTCTCTCTCTCTCTCTAGCTCGCAAACACATAGTGAACGTGTGCCTCAGAATATTGGACTCCTGTTTTGCGAGATGTGAGTACGTGTAAGCTCTCTGTGGATGTGCAATCACGAAAAGGAGCACAGAGAGGTGATCGTCAGCCGTGAACTTTGGAGAATGTTAGACTGGTTGCCTTATGTCCGTCCAAGAGCGAGAGAGGGTGAAAGAGAGAAAGAGAGACCCCAAGAGCTTGTGAAAGTGAGCATTGTGCCTTAATCTCAGATTGGAAGAGATGAGAGAACTTTAATTGAAAAGTCGCCTCAATAATTTTTTCAATCTCAAAAAGTATAAACAAAAAAAAATGAGCTAGGCAAATTCTTGAACTTGTTTTTTGAATTTCGTAACTTATAATTTACACTACATTTTCATTTTTACCTGATTCCACAGCCCAACATAATTTTTCACACAAAAAATACAACATTTTGGAAACTAGGACCAAAAAAAAAATACCGCTTGGTTGATTACGAATTCGATGTCAATTTTTTAAAATTCAAAATGGCTGATCCAATATGGCGGACGAAGTTTTAAAAATGGAATCTAAATTCGTCCGCCATTTTGTATTTTTAGAAACTTTGTTCATATCCGTAATTAGCGACCCTAAAAACCCTAGAATAACAAGTTTCAAGTGCTTCCGATCAATTTTTAAAAATTCGTCCGACATTTTGGATCCACCATTTTGAATTTTGAAAAACAGTAATCGAATTCGTAATTAGCGACCCCAAAAACCCCCGAGTGACAAGTTTCAAACGAATTCTATTAATTTTTAAAAATTTGTTCGCCATATTGGATCCGCCATTTCGAATTTTGAAAAACTTTAATAAGATACATAATCAGCGACCCCAAGAACCCTAGAATAACAAGTTTAAAGTGAATCCGATCTTAGTCCCAAAAAAAAACCCTTGATACGAATTTATATCGAAATCCGTCAATTTTTTAATCTTTTGTCAGCCATATTGGATCCGCCATTTTGAATTTTGAAATTCTAGCATCAAATTTGTAAACAGTGACCCCAAAAATCCCCGACTAACGAATTTCAGGTAAATTGAATCGATTTAAAAAAAAATTGTCTGCCATATTGAATCCGCCATTTTGAATTTTGACATGCTGGCATCAAATTTGTAATCAGTGACCCCAAAAACCCCCGAGTAACGAATTTCAGGCAAATTAAATCGATTTTTAAGAAATTTGTCTATTTGTCCGCCATATTGGATCCGACATTTTGAATTTTTAAAAACAGTCATCAGATTCATAATCAGATCCTAGTTTTCGAAAATATTCGATTTTTTTGTGTGTGAAAAAAAAGATGAATTTTTGTTGACACTGCAGAATTATTTTACCAAGATATCAAGTTACTCAGGATAATTATGTGGAATAATTATCAGCAAACCAAAGTGATTGTTGACTAATTTGAAATTATTCTCGAGACCAGAGTAACTATATATATATATATATTACCATAACTGAGAGGCTCATAAAGCCAACGTTCTAACAAGCAGAATCATACTGTTGTTTGAAAAGGTAAACATGAAATTTCCACTATTGTAAAGTGGGGAGTGATTTCTAGTTATTGATGTTAATAATTTAGACGGAATATTACAATTACTCTACTCTGCAGAAAGTGGAATGTAAATTTCATCATTCCTTGTATTGAAAAACTTTGCTAGACGCTGATTACGAATTTGAGGTTAGTTTTAGAAAATTCAAAATGGCGGATCCAATATGGCGGTTGTCTGCTGACAACCGCCATATTGGATCCGCCATTTTTAATTTTCTAAAACGGACCTCGGATTCGTATTTAGCGAACAATTAACTTATGATTAATAAGTTTAACATTTTATTATTAATTAATAATTAAATTAATAATTAATAATTAATTTATTAACAATTAAATCCTGTTCAAAGATGTTAAAATATTTAATGTCTTGTGTCTTACAAATTAAACTGACCCCTTAGTTCGTAACCTTCAACTCTGTAAATAAATCAAGGTTCACTGAACCTACGAGGCGATCGAATTTAATTAATTATTTGTATGTTTATTTTAAATATTCAAGCAGGTAACAAGAAATAGTTATCTGTTCTTCATCTCTAAATATAATTAAAAAAAACATTTATGATATCGTCTTTCTTCTCAGAAATAAATTCAAAGAATATTAAAAAAAAAAGTTCTGTTTAATTTATAATTTTACAAATAAGATAAGAAAACATTTCTTGATTTATGAAACTCGACCCTTTTTATGAATTCTAAAAATTCACAAACTTCAGATTTTTGCAAGAAGCATTTTGTTAATTTATTGAAATGTATCCTTACGTTTACTTAGAAAGTAATTAAAAAAATTGAAAACTTTTTTTTCAGAATATACTTTTTGTAATAGTTCAAAAGTTAGTTTATAAAGAAAGAAAGAGTTTATAAAAATGTTTAACTATTTAAACAATTGGAAAATTTTGCATTGTTCAAATAGACAAATGTATTTTTCTTTTGGTCAGTCACAAAAAAATATCAGTTTTGTAAAAGCTGCTTTTTGACGATATATTCTTACAAAGCCTACTCATATTTCTACTATTTTTATAGTATTGAATGTTTTGTCCGCATTGTGAAACCTAGCCTAAGCTATATTTTTTTTCGTAAGCTGCCTTCAGAAAAATATTTGACCCAGAAAATGCCTTTCATCCATAAAATCATATTGGACATATCTGTTTTTCCTTGCGTCATTTTGTCAATGTTTGAAAAATGTGAACACGAGATTATAAATTCTAAATAAAATTTAAATATTTCAGAGACGAATTTTGCTTTTTTATATTTTCAAACATGATTTAATATTTTTTTTAAAGCTGGGATTGTTGGACATAAATTGTACTTGAAATTTGCAGTGGTAAAGTAATTTTAAAAAAATGTTTGTTGATTCAATATTGAAAAAAATTCATTTTCCCAAAATTCGTCGGTTAAAGGGAAAAAAATTTTTATGTTTAATATAATTATTCTAATTTTTGACACATGTTTAAATTGTTCAGTTAATAACCTTATTAGTTAACTTTTTTCGCCGAACATATAAAAGTAAACGTCCGAACGCCGCTATTCTCGTTTTAATTAAGCTCTGCCCTTTCTTTTTTTTTTAAATTAACTAATGTTTTTTCTTCTCTGCAAACACTTTTCTATTAAGCAACCTCTCGACCTCCACGGCTTTTCAAAGACTCTTTTATAACAGCTTTTTAATTCTTTCTCAACATGCAGAATTTCATTATTTTACTTTCCAAACAATTTGTTTTTTCATTGTAACCCATGTAGAAATTAGACTCACCTTAATAATTGGAGTCCCCATTTTGAATCATAAAAATTTTCCACTTTTTTATATAATTAAAAAAGGTGAAACACTAATTTGAATGTTGAGAGTCAGGAATAATTGTTGTGCAATATTGATAATAATTTTTTAATGTATAGTCTACGCGCTTAATAAAATAAAATTAGCAACTATATAATATTTCGAATCATGATGACGCTGCAAATGCTTTGTTCAATTTTCTTAATTTGGATGCAGGGAGAAAACACCAGAAGAAATGGAACTTCGATTGCAACAATTGAGCTGTAGTAGCTTTTGGATGATCTGCAAGCTTAGGTCTTAATGATGTTAGCAGCTTTTCAGCATTAACTTCTTCATAATTTGTTCACGTACTGACGTCAAAATCCATAAAGTAGGAGAAATCCTTCGGTGGTATTTGACAAATGGTTCTTTGTTCCGACACTCTTCACTGTAACGCATCCTGAGCAGACGGCGAGTGGGTAAATTTAAAATAAGTTTTTTTAGGATTCAATTCCTAAATAATTTACAACGTATTGATTTTATTAATGATGTCAAATTATAACAGTTGCCTTAATGATAAATTAAAAATTATGCAAAGATTAATAAATCATCTTCCCTTATTCGTCGCACAAATTAAATATTTAGCACCAACGCGACACTCAGACGCCAGTTAATTTTATTATTGGAAAACTAACAAAACAATTGTCGAATTCCTTCAAGGAGATAATTTCTACTACGAGGCACATTTCTATTTTTCTAAGGACTGCATTACCACGACATCAACGTCAAATAAATAATTCGGTCCCTCCTAGGCTGAAGGGTGTTCAATCTAATTTACATCGACACCTGGACTCCAACCTTTTCACTTTGGCTAACCCAAAAATAATTTGAGGGAAATCTACTGCATTCTGTTTCCGTTAGACAACATCATTTCCTCGACCTCACACTGAAGCTTATTGGGGTCTAATAATAGTTTTAAAAAGTAAGTAACAAATACTTTTAAAGTTCTTATTTAAATTTTCAATCATTTCCACAAACTTCTAATTTTGTTTCATTGTGCCTGAAGACATCTGGATCTACTCTTTCTCCCTGATTCTAATTGTAACGGATTCAAATAAAAAACCTTCTACCGATTTTTATCATCATAGGATCAAATTACTCAGAAACTAGAGAAGACTAAGTACCTGTAAGGAATGGAAAATTTGTGACTGTCCTTATGCAACTTAGATTGTTAAATAAACACCAACCCAGAATTATTATACAAAAAAAAATTTATCAGTTTAAAGCAAAAGATATACTGCGATTTTTGCAATAAAGATATAAGGCATATAATCGGTACTTTAGGTACTGAAAAAGCTATCACAGTTTCGCAGACTGCAAGAAGAAACCAAAGCAGTTTCTTATGTGAACACAAACCACGTTCCTGGTGAGCTGAATTATACGTAGTCTTTAGGTCAGTCCTCGAGATCCCAGGAGCTTTCACCTACAAAGTTTAGAGCCCGACAGTAGTTTCGTAAGATGAAGAATGGTCCACCCGATGGGTGCCGTTTTTGGTGGGTCGACCAAAACAAGAGCCTTGGTCCCCTGACATAATCTGATAGAACGGTTTGTATGATATCTGCTATAGCAGATTTTCCCTCATCCTCAGAAAAATAAGTACAAAAAAATCATCACCAGAAGACTTGATTAATAAATTCCA